CCCAAGCCCTGCCCCTCCCACGTGTATGCCCCTCCCTGGTATGTAGCTAAGCCAGGCCTGTCTTCAGTGCCACCTGCCCTGTGGGAATCCTTTCTTGGTGGGGAGGGGTGACTTCACACGGGTGACACCGCGCACAGAGCTCTGCCCAGGGAAGTGCCTGGGGGGGAAGAGTCTTGTGTTTCCTCTCATCTCGTCAGACCTCTGTAAGGACTCTCCAGCCCATTTGGCATCTTGCTCCCGCCTCTTTTCTGATTTTTAGGAGCCTTATAGCTTAAAACTTACTTTGTTTCTAGTTTTGGAGATCGTATGGGTTTTGTTAGCTCCTTGCCTGTGAGCACCTGGAGAGGAGCACCCAGGTGCGCTCTGCCCAGGTGCACTCTGCCCAGGTGTCTCTGCCCAGGTGCAACACTGCCCAGGTGCGCTCTGCCCAGGTTTCTCTGCCATGTGCTCTCTGCCCAGGTATGTTCTGCCCAGGTGTGCCCTGCCCAGGTGCAACACTGCCCAGGTGCACTCTGGGTCACGGCACCTGTCTCCATGTTCCAACGCTCTTGAGATTGGTGATAAAGAGGCACTGCCGGGTCAGCAAGCACCGCGCACTGCCCTGAGGAGCATCGCGTGGGATGTCAGAGATCTGGGTCCGGGATGGGCTCTTCGACTGACTGGCCATCGGGCCTCTCGCTGCCCACGAGCCGGGGTGTTTGCAGACGTGGCCTGCAAGTGCGTGAAGCCAGACGCTTCTGTGTGCAACTGCTAGACAGTTACACGCGTGTTTCCTTATTGGTCATTTCTTACACAGAAGGTAACTGTATGCATGTGTGTGTTCTTTTGAACTTCACTTAATTTCACTTAAAAATCCTGGAAAGTGCCCGGCCGGGCGTGGCTCAGCGGTTGAGCATCAACCTGGGATCCAAGCGATTGGGGTTCGATTCCCGCTCAGGGCACATGCCCGGGTTGTGGGCTCGATCAGTGACTCTCTTATCATGGATGTTTCTCTCTCTCTCTCTCCAGCTCCTTTCCTCTCTCTGAAATCAATAAAGATATATTTAAAAAAAAAAAAAAAACCCGGAAAGCACCCCTGTGAGATCACACAGATTATATTCATTCTTGTTGGTTTTTTCCTAAGAATATNGGAAAGCACCCCTATGAGATCACACAGATTATATTCATTCTTGTTGGTTTTTTCCTAAGAATATTTTTAATTGATTTTTAAAGAGAGAAGATGGGAGATGGAGAGACAGAGAAACATCGATCGGCCGCCTCCTGCTGGCCCCCCACCCGGGATGAGCCCGCAACCCGGGCAGGCGCCCCCACCGGGAACCAGGAATCGAAACCGCAACCTTTTGGTGCAATGACGACACCCAGCCAGCTGAGCCACACCGCCCAGGGCTCTGCGTGGCTTTTAAGATGCCAGTTTGTCTCGTCTCGTTTTTACCTGAATGAAACAGGGGGTTTATAGACACGACCTACTCCTATTAACCTTTAAAAGACGGCATTTAAAAGACAGCATCATACAAACTCCACATATTTTCCAGGATCCACTGTACAAGTAATGGTTTCTTTCCTTTTGCCTGTAAAAAAGAACGTAGATGCTCAGGTTTCTGAGTATTTAAGCCTGGTAATTGCGTTTACAGACAGCGACCGCGGCTCCCCCCGCCTGAAAGCAACGTCCGTTTCTCCTGGATCCCGACCTGCATTTGGCCAGTGGGGGGAAGCGCGCCTGTGGCTGAGCACAGACTAATTAATTTCTTTCTTTTCTTTTCTCCCCCCCTCCAGGATTACACCTTAACCATGTATTTCCAACAATACTGGAGAGATAAGAGGCTCGCCTATTCCGGGATCCCGCTCAACCTCACGCTGGACAACCGCGTGGCGGACCAGCTGTGGGTGCCTGACACTTATTTCTTAAATGACAAGAAGTCGTTCGTGCACGGAGTGACGGTGAAAAACCGCATGATCCGGCTTCACCCCGACGGCACCGTGCTCTACGGGCTCAGGTCTGTCTGCCCCTCGGGGCTCGCGGTCGCCTTGAATTTCCCACTCGAGGCCATAATAGCCGGGGAGGCCGTGTCCCCCTATTAATGAGGAGATCCGTGAAACTCTGAGCTTTGCAGAAAAAGAAATCTTACAGGATTTGGGACATCGCTGTGACTTATAAGAGTCACGAGCAAGGGGACAGCCTGCTCGGGCTGATTGGATCTAATTGGGTTGCCGTATCCGAGAACCAGATCCCCCCGGGCTGGGTTTCCCATATTACAGCCACAAAGGCCGTCATGAATATCAGCCTGGCACTGCAGAGCGCTCAGTGGCGCTCTCCCAAAGCCTTCTGCGGAGTCGGAAGAAAACGCTTAGTTAGGCCGATCCAGGCCCCAGGGAGTTTTCCGAGGCGGTGCCTCCAGTATTTATGGGAGTGACTAAACGCAAGGCTCCCGGTGACAGTCATCTCGCACCAGCCCTCGTAATGAACTTGTAATGAACTCGCTGGAATTGGAAACCAGGCTGCTGTCTGGGGCCGGGGTGGTCCGGGGCTTCCCTGGTTGCCCTAGAAACCACCAGGCTTTCCAGTGATGCTGTGAATTTCCCCCCCTTGCTCAATGGTGCCCTTAAAATTATTTTGTTTCTTGCATGGACTTTGCACTGGTTTTTTTGATGTGTGTGTTTTTTTTCTTTCGGTAAATGGCTTTATTTGATTTTGTTTTTATGGTTCAAAATATTACAGATGTCCCCTTTTTTCCCCATTGACCCCTTCCATCCTGCACCCCCTCCCCTCCCCNCGTGTGTTTTTTTTCTTCCTTTAAATGGCTTTATTTGATTTTGTTTTTATGGTTCAAAATATTACAGATGTCCCCTTTTTTCCCCATTGACCCCTTCCACCCCGCACCCCCTCCCCTCCCCAGTCCTTCGCCACACTATTGTCTGTGTCCTCGGGTGGGCGGGGGAGTGGGTGGGGAGAGATTAACCAAAGAATTTATCTATACGCTGGTTTTTGTTGTTTTGTTTGAGAGTAATTTTGTGTATGTGTTTTTCTTGATCTCCTGGCCTGAAAGTGTCTCCAAGGACTGGCCCAATCGTTTTAAGTTTTACGTCAAAATGTTACGAGTCAGTAGCCTTCCAGCGAAGACTCCAGCAGGTCTAAGTGAAAGCAGAATAATATCTATTTAAAATCCACACCACTGTGACTTTCTCTGCGAGATGAACGAAGGGAAATTACTTAACATCGCCTTAGGTAGAAAAATGTTAGTGACTTTCTCCAAACAGCAATCAACAGAGCAAGAGTCAACGTTTTAGCAAAAATCAGAGTTCCTTTAACCCCAAGAAAGAAAAACGGGGGCCACATGTCACCCAAGCCGTGGGTCCCTGTGAAAAGAGTCTAGCTCGATGTTTCTTTGGGATGTTTTCAGCATTTTATGTCTTTGCGCAGAAATGAGAGATGTGGTTATAAAGTTCTGGGAGTTCTGACAAGACATCACTCGTACAAAGAATTATCCGAAAACCACGTGAGCCTAAAATGAGGAGCCACGTCCTTCATTCACCTGCCTCCACCCCAAAGACACTGAATTGAAAGTGCTCGTGTGCACATGCGTGTGCACATGTGTGTGTGTAGTGGGGAAGCAAACATGAATAAAAATCCAGCTAGGCCTCCTTGGCTTTGGAAGAGGACTTTCCGTTTGGGGCTCTCTCCAGTTTTATTTTTGGATTCTTTATTTTCTTACCAGAGGCAGGGTAGGTTAGTAGGTTTCCCTTGAAAGCACAGAGCTTTAACCCTGCGAGACTAGTGTGTGAGTCTGCTCTGGCTGCGATAACCAAACACGCAGACAGGGCGGCTTATAAGCAACGGGCGTTTGTTCTCAGAGGCCCGGAAGGCGGACGCTCAAGATCAAGGAGCCAGCAGCTGCGGTGTCTGCGAGGACCTCACGCAATGCAGGCGCCGTCTGCTGCGCCCGCATGTGGCAGGGCGAGGGGGCTCTGGGGGGTCTCTTCTAAAAGGCCACTAATCACCCGGCCGGGCGGGGCTCAGCGGTTGAGTGTCAACCTAGGATCCAGGCGATCGGGGTTCGATTTCTGGTCGGGGCACATGACGGGGTTGTGGGCTCGATCAATGACTCTCATCATTGATGTTTCTATCTCTCTCTCTCCCTCTCCCTTCCTCTGTCTGAAATCAATAAAGATCTATTTAAAAAATAAAAATAATAAATAAATAAATAAATGGCCACTAATCCCATTCATGAGGGCCCCACCACCCTGACCTAAGTCCCTACCTCCTAATACCACCACTTTGGGGGGGGGGGGCTAGGATTTCAACTGATGAATTTGGGGTACAGACACACTCAGATCACAGCACACAGAGTGATATAATATGAAGGACAGGACTGGGTTAAAATTTCAAACTCCATTTGAATGTGTTGGGGCTTTAACACCATACAACAGTCAAGACTAACTATATAAAAGTTAAATAGTAATGTAATAATAAGCTATGAGAAACTTTCAATAACAGACTTTTACAATAACCTAAAAAATATCTCTCTGGTCAAATTTACATCATTCTACATCTCAAGCAGCCTCTTATATCAGGAAGTGGGTTTCTAAATAAGTTGCTGTTTTCATTCCAATGTTGTCTCAATGTATTTCTTGGGTCTCTATTTAGAGCCTCATATTTTTGAAACAAGTCTTTGGATCTATGTGGACTAGCTGTCAGAGAGAAAAATTCTAAATGCCAGGCCACCACGTTCCACACTTGCTCAGCAGCTACCCTGCCATCTGCTTCCCTTGCAAATCGGCTCATCTAGAAATCTCTGCCTTTATTTTTTTTTTTAATTTTTTAAATATGTTTTTATTGATCTCAGAGAGAGAGATAGAAACATCTCTCTGTGATGAGAGAGAGTCATTGATGGGCTGCCTCCTGCACGCCCACTACTGGGGATGGAGCCCAAAACCCAGGTGTGCGCCCTGACCGGGAATCAAACTGTGACCTCCTAGTTCATAGACAGACACTCAACCACTGAGCCACGCCAGCCAGGCAAAAAGACACACGGAGCTATAGAGATGAATTTGAATTTGAATTTGAATTATTTGAATTTGAATTTGAATTTGAATTTTTGGACAGAAAAGCACATTGGTATGTCAAAATACTGATAGTTTTATTAAATTCTTATATATTGTACACATATTCTATGTGAGCTGAAGTACCATTGGTATATATTCTACATTATGTGTACACGCCCATACACACATGCACAATATATATATCGTGTTTTGTGTAAAAATCAAAGTGTGAGTGCTCTCCCTGGTGGGCCACCCTTCATTCCCTCCTTGGCCCCAACCCTATGTTCCCTCCCCTCTCTGTTCACTTGGTGCCCATTGGATCATTGGTGACATGGCAAGTCAGGGATGGGCCGGTGTATGTAACCCCAACAATACACCGTATCATTGTGTAAATAGGTACCATGGCGTGGGGCTGAAGGGGGTCTGAGCAGCTGAGGACTCTCTGGGCAAAATCCTCACATAGGGTTATGGAGCCCTGGAATTGCTGTTAGTCTCTTGTTGATGGAGGCTCAACCCAACAAAGATGATTTTCCTCCTGGCTAAGTCCCTGGGACACTAGTTGGCCGGGCCGTGTCCCCGAGGCATGAAGGTGGAATTTTTCTCACCCCTGTAGTCTGGGGTTGGCTTTGCCCTGAGTACCCAGCAGTAGCCCACGCTGGTGGGTCAGTCGTCATCGAGCTCCTCTGGGCTCCCTTTCCTGTTCACGCCCAGCCCGGGAGCAGTGACGGTTTGTGCTTAATCAAGGGTAGATTGAGATCTCTGGCTAGGGGTGAGCTTTCCATGACGTAGGTTTGTACCTCATCGCAGTCTTTTTCTGGGAAGCCATTAATCCATTACGCTGATGACTGTGCAGAAATGTCAGTGAGTACTCCCAGAGATTCGAGGGCACCCGTGTTCTCATTGTGATAAGAGGTTGTTTCAAATAATGAACTATTTTCTCAATGATTCCAATAGCCCCCTGACTTTGAGCTTGAGCACAGGCTTGAGCTCACCTGAAAAAGGTGATGTGACCCTCTTGCACTTGCCCAAGTCCCCAGTGATGTGAGAATGCTCTGGGCAGGGCACCACACCCTCCTAAAATCAAACCTGGGCTCCTTGGAAATTTGGGGGCAGTTTCCTCTCAGGAAGAAAGAAGGATCTTGGCTAAGAGTTTCATAGAGTCTCACAGGTTATCAGATGGCTAATAACCTTGAGGATTTTAGTCTTGCAACCATGTTGCTTATGACTATTTTTATCTTCATTTTCATGTGTTTTACTTTTGTTTCTGTTTCCTGTTTCATTGCATGAATTTTCGCTTCCGAAAAATGAAAAAAATAGAGATAACAGTGTGCAAAACCTGCTAGTTCCTCATCGAACAGGACGGCTTCCTGTGCCCCTCCATGAAGGATGGTAGATACTCTGAACCCAAGGTCACTCCTTCATATCCAGTCTGTCTCAGGCCGGAGACCTGTAGTGGCAAAGAGGGGAGAGTCGATTTCTCAGCCCCTCTGCTTCTATTTCTCCTCTACTGTGTCCCCAACCCCGCTTGGTGGCCTACATGTGACTCCTTCAGTTTTTCAAGACTTTTTAATTGATTTTTAGAGACACAGGAAGGGGAAGGGACTGAGAGAGAAACATCAATGTGAGAGCGAAACATCAATCATCTGCCTCCTGCATGCCCCCTACTGGGGGTCAAGCCGGCAACCTGGGTATGTGCCCTTAAATATAATGGCATGTGCCATTAAATATATATGTTTTTTGACTGTCAATTAGTTTCTGGGCTTTTCTATCAGAAACATACATCTCAACTATAGGGACTTTAAGCGCTGCTCTCTCTCAATCAAAAAAAAAACAAGAGAAACAACCAGAAGAAAAATGCATCTGCCAAAGAGTAATAGTGGGGAAGTCCTCACCCAGTCATATTTCTCGTCGACTAGTCCTTAGAAATAGTAGTGGAATTCTCAGATTCCATAGGACCACAGAAGTGGAGCTGATGCTGGTAAATTTTCGTCTCGGGACAAATAAAATTTATTAAGAAAACACATGATGAGGCGTGTGTGTGCATGCGCACCCATGCATGGGCACAGGCATGCACACACACACAGGCTAGAAATGATGCCAACAGAGCTCAGAGGTCACTGTGGCTCCCCTGCCCTTGGTCATCTCCATTAGCTAGACTTGAGCTCTCAGTGCTTCAGGCTGTGAAGGGTAGATCGATGTTCCCTCCTGTGGTTTCTGCAAAGCCCCAGGGGTGCAAAATTTGGTCCACTCACTCAGAAAGTCCACCGCCCAAGTTCACCATGAGTTTAGTCAACTTGGATGAAGGTTTTGTGGCTGAGGGAGGGACTCGGGCATGCTGCACCCTTCTGGATCTTTCTACCCCCCTCCCTTTTCTTGCCTTCCTGCCCCAGCAGCACCCAGACCTGTTCCTTCTCCCAGTGTGTCATCCCTGTGCCCACCTTTTGTAGCATGAGCGGCACTTGTATCTGATTGTCCACCATGAGAGGGTTTGCTATGCATTTCTCCTGGAGCAAGAAGCATGGTAGATAGATGCTCTTACATTATTCCTTGAGTAAATAGGAAAGGGGCTCCCTTTTATAACCATTATTCCACCAGACAGAGAAGACAGGTCAGCAACGGTACTGGGGACACTCTCACCAATTCTTCTAGCTTCATGGTTCCCTCTGGATACTTCCTACCAGGCACTCGACATGATGTCACGTTAAGTGTGAGTCCCCAAACAATTTGGACATGCTCATGTTTGTATGTGCGTGCATGTTTCTAAAGGGTGATATTGGGGAACGACTAAGGAAAACAAAAAATAGTAATCTCAGTTATTGACTGTTCAAGTGGATAGGTACAAACACGGGTGGACAATGTGAACATTTCCGGTACAGGCCATTTTCTCTTTTTCATAAAAATTTATAATCTTAGCGTAACAGTCGATGTAACCATCGCATGCAGGAGGCCTAATGTCCTTGGGCTATGATATACATCCTTTCTACGGCTGCAGCTGACCCCAAGGGAAGCTAACCCACTCCACTTTGATTCATAATCAATAAAACAGAAGCCCAGTATTCTCTTTGAAAAGAGAGGCGATGTCATGGTGCAAAGCTCTGGAGTGTTAGGATCCAGCCCAACAGACAAGGGTAATGAAACAGAATGAAGGAGAAGCTTGGCTCAGAGCCCAAAGGGCAGCCTGTGGATATGTAGCTACTTGAACAGGTCACGTGGAAAGTCCATGAATTCAATCCTAATCCAATCAGCACCGTCCCCTTGCATTCGTTTATTTTGTGCTATGAAGGTCACAGAGCCACTAGACCGGGAGGCAGAGCAGAGAGTGAAGATAAGAGCTTCCCGAGAAACCCCACCCTTTGCCTTGATCGTTCAAATTCAACAAGACTCCGTAGAAAATTTTATAGGACTTGAAGTTTCTGTGTTGCTTGTCTTGATAAAACTGGTCTGTGGCATCCTGAAAAGCCATTCAGAATATATTATACTGAATCGGGTGTACCTTGGAGAAGGGGACCTGCTTGGAGGCCACTCGCTGCTGATCTGGAAGCAGTTTCCTTGTTAAGCTTCTCACCCCCCCTCTGCTCTCCGCCCTCCTCTGTGTGTTTCAGAATCACCACAACCGCGGCCTGCATGATGGATCTGAGAAGGTACCCCCTGGACGAGCAGAACTGCACCCTGGAAATTGAAAGCTGTGCGTATCTGTATTTGTGTGTGTGTGCGTGTCATCCATTTTGTGTTTTAGGCCATCTCGGCATTATTTGGCATTTTCCCCAAGGTGTATATCATTTTCTTGATAGTTTTTAACTATGTTAAATATTAGAGGTTTGATCTTCCACTCTGCAAATCTCACTGTTGAGAAGGGGAGAGAGACAGAGACAGAAAGCAAGCCAGACAGAGCGTGAGAGAGACGCAGTATGAGTTCTCCGTTCTAATCTGATTAAGAGAATCTGTTTGCTTCCCTGAAATATAAGTAAACAAATGCCCCCATCTCGGGCCACTCAGTGTAAAGGGAGAAAACACAGACAATTTTGTCACAATATGCCTTGTCACGCATGAGTGGCTGTACCCCTGGGACCCTGGCAGTTGGAGTAAAGCTCATTTTCCATCAGGGACTCAGCTTGACAAGCAGGCTATTTCTGCATCTTGGCAATTTTCTTCAATTTGAAGAGCATTCAGCTGCCTTATTGGTAATTCAGTGTTGAGTACTCTTGTGTGAGGGACCAGGGCTGCGTCTGTATCATCTAATGAACAGATGTCCCACCTGCCACCTGAGCTACATCTCCAGGCAAATCTGGATGGCCCTGCTGTTGTTACCAATCCTGACCTATCACAGATGGGTTTATAATTAGCCTCCATTGGATTTAGGCTTGTCGGGGTTTATATTGAATTTTTTGTGGATGGCAAATGATTGACTTTCCAAGGTAATTTGATGCATTTGTGGTGAGAAGGGAATATTTTCATGAATGAACCTATTGGGAAGCTGTAGAGATCCCTCGTGGAGCTGATCCCACTGTGCCCCTGGTTCCCACACTACATCTGTGTCATGGTTCCTGAGAAATGTGCTTTCAGAAGGTGAGGGACATGAAATCGTGTCCATGATGGACTCGTGTGGGGATATTTAGTGTAAGACGATTATCGCCCAATAGTTGAAGAACTACCCTAGGAAGTGAAATAGAGTCTGTGTGGCTCCAGGGCATCACTCCCAGTGAAGTGATGAGTTTCAGGAAGGCAAATTTGGGGTCTAAGTAAGGAAGCAGCTCCTATTCCAATTGTGAAGAGATGAAGAGTAGACTGGGAGGAGGAGATTCTGTGACTACAATGTTTGAACTGAGGTCAGGATCCTGTTGTAAACGAGATTTATTTCCTCAGCATGTGTGAACCAACCCCCCTCAAAGAGTCCATGCTTAAAGCATTTGAGTGGAAAAAGAACTCTCTCAACTTTCTGGTGATTTAACTGCATACATGTGTGAAAGGCTTTATGTAAGTTGAGATGCAAACATGAGGAAGAGTGAGCCATGAGAAGATCTGGACGTATGTCCCCTGAACACAGTGTGCTGATCTGAGCCACAGAGGCCAGGGGGCTGGGCTGGGTGCAAGGGAGAGAAATTGGATGCACCCGGGGGCCAGTCCTGTAGATTTTTGGGGTCCTTGTAAGGAGTTTGGATTTGTTTTGCTGATTACGTTGGGAAACATGTGAGGGTTTTACAGAGAGGGGTAGCTTGGTAATGTGTGTATTTGATTAACTAATGCCATGACCGCCAGGTGAGAATGGAATATGAGGAAGTCAGAAGGGAGGTGTGACCACCATGATCCAGGGCATGAGAATAGCAGATAGAACTAGGGAGATGGTATTAACTGTGGGGAGCAGTCACCCCACAGTTTTGGTCTATTTGTCAACCACTTTTCGCTCAGTATTATATATTCAAGTCAAAAAGTCCATTATAGCCCAGCTAGTGTGGCTAAGTGGTTGAGAGTCATCCTGTGCACCAAGAGGTCACCGGTTCAATTTCCGATCAGGGCACATGCGTAGGTTTTTGGCTTGATCGCCAATAGGGGGTGTGCAAGAGGCAGCCAATCAATGTTGATGTTTCTCTCTCTCCCTTCTCCCTCTCCCTTTCTCTCTCTCTAAAAATCAATAAAAATATGTTTATTTTTTTTAAATGTCCATTATACTGATAGGGTATTTTTCTCCGGGTATGAGTTGTAATCGATCTTACTGGTAAAGTTGACCTGATCCTCTAGAAGACTCCTGGGTGCTACAGTAACACCAGACTTCACTGTCTTATTACTTTTCCTGCAGAAGCATTGAACTTGAGCTCTGAACCAAGAGCTGCATTTGGGGCTGTAATCTGGCTAATGGCCACTCTTCATGAGACCTTTGTGCAAATCTCTGAGGGCCCAGAGTGTCCCAACAAAAGGCATTTCTAAGGATGGCAAACCTCACGGCCACCTGATAGAACCATCCAGCAATGCCGAGAACTCTACTTTTGCTCTGATGTGATCAACCATTGATTGAATCCATTCACCCTCAGTGTTTTAACTTTTCAGTGGCTTTTGAGAAGAGTTGTCCCTCTGGAATTTGTCATGCTTGAGTTCCCATCTTTTCTCACAACCATCTTTATATAAGTGTGTGTGTGTTTATTGATTTTAGAGGGAGGGAGAGATAGAAACATCAATGAGAGAGAAGCATCAATTGACTGCCTCCCGCACGCCCCCTGCTGGGGACTGAGCCCACAACCCGGGCACATGCCCTGACCGGGAATCGAACCGGTGACCTCTTGGTTCCTGGGTCAACGCTCAATACTGAGCCCCACCGGCCGGGCAGCCTCCCTAGTTTTTGCCCTTTTCAGCGCCAGCCTGTTCTAAATCAAAGGGAATCAGAGGTAACACGGGGATTTGAGGACTAGTTCTTTGAAGACACTTCTCAAAAACGAGCACATCAAACAAATGTACTTGAGCTATAGGCAAGCTCTTCCTTCCGTTTTTCTGGTGACAGTTTCTTGAATGTTGTGCATAGACAAGACAATGTTTCATCTCCACCCTGTCCCTTCTTCTCTTCCTGGTAGATGGCTACACCACGGATGACATTGAATTCTACTGGCGCGGTGGCGACAGTGCTGTCACCGGAGTGGAGAGGATTGAGCTCCCTCAGTTCTCCATTGTGGAGCATCGCCTGGTCTCCAGGAATGTCGTCTTTGCCACAGGTGAGTCCTGCGTCCGCTCACCCTCCCTGGGGACACTAGGCACCTGGGTTGTCATGGTCTCCTTATGAAATACCCTGCAAGCGACTCCCAGCACTGGGTGACCCCAAGCAGCACTGTCATCAGTAATTCATCCTATTAGGTGCCCCTTTTCTCTGTCTCCAAAGGGGATCGGTAAGCTCTGGTGGGTAGAAGGATCCCCTGGCAATGAGATGCCCCCTGGGGCTGGTTATTGAGAAGTTAAAAGACCGAGGGTGGTCCTGCCAGTGTGGCTCAGTGGGTTGAGCATCCAGCCATGAACCAAGAGGTCAAAGGTTTGATTCCCAGTCAAGGCACATGCCTGGGTTTTGGGCTTGATCCCCCGTAGGGGGCGTGCAGGAGGCGACCGATGGATGTTTCTCTCTCATCAATGTTTCTATCTCTCCCTCTCCTTTCCTCTCTCTCTAAAAACATATATTTTTTAAAAAAGACTGAGGGTGAATTCAATCAACCCATTTTGGTAACATAAGCAACTCATTGTGGGTAGACAAGAAGCCACCCATGGCCACGGAGGCAGGAAGGAAGGGGAGAGAGGAACAGTGCTGTTGACCCAGAAATAAAAGACCTTCTCCCCACTTCTGGGCTCCCAGTCGGCCTTGGTGGTCCAGGAACTTGAACTTGGACCACACTCAGACTCTTTAGGCAAGGTCACCTGCTCCTAATAGTATCAGGTGAAGGCTGCCCTGGCCTGGGTTTCATTGTCATCTCTGTTTCAACCATCCAAAGACTGAGAAGGTACCTGCTGTCCTGTCTGTTCTTGCTGAGGTTTTATTGAATTACAACCCCGGGTATTTTGCAAGCTGTGGTGCCTTCTCCGTGCTCTTCCTCAGTGCAGGGTGCCATAACTGAGATAAACAAAAGTGCCAAACAGAAAGGAATTATAAAAAGCACAAACTCTGGGTTGAAATGCTCAGTGAAGGCAAAGCTGGGACCTCCCACCTCCGCTTCCTCCTGTCATTGTAGCTTAAATAACAAGTGTGGGGAGTTTGCCCCACTAATGACACCTATAGGCCTGCACTCTGTGCCCATTGCCTCTGACTTGAGTGCCTGTGACCCACAGCTACCTGCCTCCCTTCTAGTCACTCTGGAGCTTAATCCAGACTCCACTTCCTCTGGGCAGGCGTGGGCCCTGTTCTACCCAGGGACTGCCACCCAGGCTGGCCACGTGGCTTCTCTGCATTTCCACAGCTCTGCCAACACATGGGCCCCTCCACGCTCTGTTGTGCCTGTGTCCTCAAGGATGCGTCTCCCTCGGGAGGCACCCGTCCAGTTCCTGCCTTCCCCCCTCCCAGCTCCACCTTGTGCGATGCCTGACACGTCCCGGGCATGCAGCCACGGTCACTGAGCAAGCGAACAGTGAGCCTCCCTCCTCTGCACCCCGGCTTCTAAGAGCCAGTGGACATGCCAAGTACAGACAATGCCTGGGATGTTGACCGTCCCTTCTCTCATCTATTGCGAGATGTCTTGCAAATGTCTTTGAGGCCTCCAGAGAGCACACACTGAGGGGCTCACCTCAGGGGGGCAGCAAGGACCAGCATCGGCGCAGGCTTGTCGTTAAGGCAGCGATTTTTCAACCGGGGAGCTGCAAGAATCTTTAAAGCATTGCAGCACCTGATTATTTAGTTGGGGCACTGACTTCTCTTCCTTTAGATTGTCAAATTAAACAAATGACAACAGCCAACGCAACAGTAGCCGTCTGGTCTGAATTAATCAAAATTATACCTTTTTTTTCTTGTCGGATCAGCAAAAAATACATTTTTTGGTGTGCCCCAGAATCTTAGTAATTAGTTTACGTGCCATGAGATGGAAAAGGTTGAAAATCGCTGCGTCAAGGAATAGTTCCCACAAGCAAGCAGACTGCTCTGTGATGCACCGAATGAGATGATGTGTTGCTTTTATTTATTTATTTTTTTAGCACGAGAAGAGGGAGAGAGTGAGAGAGAGAGAAACATCGATGAGAGAGAAACATCAACCAGCTGCCTCCTGCACACCCCCTACTGGGGATGGAGCCTAGAACCTGGGCATGTGCCCTAACCAGGAATTGAACCAGTGACCTCTTGGTACATGGGCCGATGCTCTAACCACTGGGCCACACAGGCCAGGGCTGATATATTGCTTTTAAAACCAGGATTAAGTTGTTCCACGCTCCGTGGGATGTGAGCACAAGGTGGGCTCAGAACTCAGGAGTGGTGTCCTCTCAGTGGAGCAACCCTGCCCTACAGGGTTTGGTCTAGAAAACCTTTGGTCATGGGATTCAGTACTCCCACAAGCATCTCTTATCGAGTTGTCTGCAGCCTCCTCAGAAAGCCTGCAGGTGTTGGTAGAGGGGGTAGAACTTCTAGAATAATCTAACTCAAATCCACTCAGGAGCAGTCTCTGTCTGTCTTTAAGAATGTATATGATGCCTGGCCGGGCGTGGCTCAGCGGTTGAGTGTCGACCTAGGATCCAGGCAGTCGGGGTTCGATTCCCGGTCAGGGCACATGCCTGGGTTGCAGGCTCGATCAATGACTCTCTCATCATTGATGTTTCTGTCTGTCTCTCTCTCTCCCTCTCCTTTCTCTCTGAAATCAATAAAGATATACTTAAAAAAAAAAAAGAATGTATATGGTAAAATGTTTCCTAAAAACATCCGGAGAAAATACCCGCTACAAGTATGGGGGAGAATATTTGATTGATCCGCAAGACCCTCAGGCATCAGAAGGCAATATCGAGTCTTCTTGCCAGCACCTACCCAGTTTCTGCACTTGTAGGATGTAGCCAGGGCGCCATATCAGTCAGTTATAAACCTCCCATCCTTCGAAGAGTTGGCACTTTAGAATGATTCTAAATTGCCTATTTATGTAGGCCTGTTCTAAGTCACATTATTTTTTAAATTATTTTTAAATGAAATATCATGCAAATTTATTTTCCTCTGCCCAAGTGTTCTGAATTTGTGAGATCTGATCAGTAGCCTGAATTGAAGGACTCTCTTGCTTGAGGGAGAATGCTCGAAACAGGGATTGGAGAAAAAACAAACACTCTGGNTGAGCACAAGGTGGGCTCAGAACTCAGGAGTGGTGTCCTCTCAGTGGAGCAACCCTGCCCTACAGGGTTTGGTCTAGAAAACCTTTGGTCATGGGATTCAGTACTCCCACAAGCATCTCTTATCGAGTTGTCTGCAGCCTCCTCAGAAAGCCTGCAGGTGTTGGTAGAGGGGGTAGAACTTCTAGAATAATCTAACTCAAATCCACTCAGGAGCAGTCTCTGTCTGTCTTTAAGAATGTATATGATGCCTGGCCGGGCGTGGCTCAGCGGTTGAGTGTCGACCTAGGATCCAGGCAGTCGGGGTTCGATTCCCGGTCAGGGCACATGCCTGGGTTGCAGGCTCGATCAATGACTCTCTCATCATTGATGTTTCTGTCTGTCTCTCTCTCTCCCTCTCCTTTCTCTCTGAAATCAATAAAGATATACTTAAAAAAAAAAAAGAATGTATATGGTAAAATGTTTCCTAAAAACATCCGGAGAAAATACCCGCTACAAGTATGGGGGAGAATATTTGATTGATCCGCAAGACCCTCAGGCATCAGAAGGCAATATCGAGTCTTCTTGCCAGCACCTACCCAGTTTCTGCACTTGTAGGATGTAGCCAGGGCGCCATATCAGTCAGTTATAAACCTCCCATCCTTCGAAGAGTTGGCACTTTAGAATGATTCTAAATTGCCTATTTATGTAGGCCTGTTCTAAGTCACATTATTTTTTAAATTATTTTTAAATGAAATATCATGCAAATTTATTTTCCTCTGCCCAAGTGTTCTGAATTTGTGAGATCTGATCAGTAGCCTGAATTGAAGGACTCTCTAGCTTGAGGGAGAATGCTCGAAACAGGGATTGGAGAAAAAACAAACACTCTGGGGGTAGAGTCCGTGCTGAAGATTCACTGTGATTCCTTCCACCCCCGCTTCTGGTGCGGTGTGGACACGGGGCTGCACCCGAGTCTGAAGGGCAGGGGATGGAGGCAGGCCAGGACTCAGATGAGGCGAGTGAAGCCTTTAGATGCAAAATTTCAGATGTTCGTTATCAGGGTCACGCAAGTGAAATTTTGTGCCTCACCCCCGTCACCCTCATTCTGCCCCTTTGAGGGCCGTATAGGTGGCTCCTCGCTGTGGTTTTGGTGGACTGAAGTCCTCCTCTATCTCCAGGACAACATGAGGTCGCAGGCTACAGGTCTGGGAGCACATACAGATGGAGTCACGGGTATTCACTCAACGACTGGCATGAGCTACAGCATTTGAGGATAATATTTCATTGTCTCTGGCTTCCATTGTTTCTATCGAGAAGACACTTGTTGGTCTAACTACTTTCGAATTCATCTGTCTTTCTGCCCCCTTAAGATGCTTTTATGATTTTTCTCTTTGTTTTTGGTTCACTGGCATTTTCCATGTACCAAGCTATAGTTTTTTTCTCTTTAGTATTCTTTTTAGAGTTTGTAAATCTTCTTGACTCTTTGGCTTGATGTCTTTGGAGCATTATTGGCCACCATTGCTCTGGCCTATTCTCTCCTTTTCTCCCCCTAAACTTTTAATTTTAACAATTCCAATGTTAGATCTTCTCTTATCTTCTATATATCTCACCCTCCCTTCTGAAATTTTTATTTTATTTTCTCTTCATGTTTCACTCTGGAAATTTTCTTCTGATTTATCTTTCATTTCAACAGTATTCTCTTCATCTGTGTCTAATCTGTTATCATCCATGGGAAAATTGTAGATACAATTCAAAGTTTATGATGGCGTTTTCTTTTTTCAGAGAGGATCTATGCTCACCTCTGTGAGGCAACTAGAGGAACTGGCCATCCAGGGCAGGCTTTATTTACTTTCTGGGAATTCAATAATTCTAAATTCATTCAATCTTTGTTCATGCTTGAACCCTTCGGTTTATTTTCACACCTTGGACCGAGCTCTTTGGAATCCCTATTTGACGGTCTCTG